CAAGATTTCCTCCATCAACAGTAGCAACTCAATCAGAAAGACATCAGCAACAAGCATACTCGAACACATTCGCAATCAAAATCATCGCCAGTTGCAGGCATCACGGCGACAACTGTCATCACACGATCACAGTAACAGCGAGCTACCCATCACAAGTACAAGCGCCAATGGCAGCACGTCGTTGATTTTGGCGGATGGCATTTGGGATTTGCTTGAAGTTCAAGCTTCGTTCCGCTCACACACAGAGACCGAGCTTTCGGCCCTTGACAGTCATAGATGTGCTGATCGAGTTGCGGCAGTCCTGCATTGCGACTCGTCCATGCTTGCGTCCTAGAGTTGGCATGCGGTGGGTTGCCAATGTGAGACCGCCGAAGTGGTGGACGTGTGTTGCCCCTGACGCTCCTGGTCCATGTGTTGCGGCTGTGCTTAAGGTTGTTGTGGTGCCCGCGGCGGCGGTTGTGATTGTGGTCTTTTCTGCACAAAGCTCCTTTTGGGTGTGTGATTACTTTTGTCGCTGATGTTAGTGGTGCTGGTGGCTGGAAGGTGCGGTGGCAGTAGTGCCGGTGCTGTCAGTTGTGTATCGGCGGTGTTCGTGTTGGTATTACTGCTTCTTTTGTTGTGGCGAGGGCTGCTGCTGTTGTTGCTAGAGGTGGTGATGGTGCTGCCTGTGTTCGTTGCTGTGTTGCTAGTGGTAGTGCTGCTGCCGCTGCTGCTGCGCCTGCTACAATTCCTTCTTGTGCTCCTCCTCCTTCTCTTCAACCTCAGGGCTCTACTCGTGGTTGTCCTTGTCCGTCTCGTTATCCTTGACGTTTCTGATGCTGCTGTTGTTGTTGAGGCCTTCGTCGTTGTGGATGTGCCCACTGCCAAGTTGCCAGATCCTGGCGCTGTCTCCCTTTCTCCTCTAGATGCCCAGATACCAATCGGTATGCTGAACAGCCCAGGCCTGCATCATGCCGGCAGTGTTATTCCATCACTCCAAAGCCTTTCTCGGCCTCGAGGATGTTCCTCCCGAAATCTGGACGGAGCCAGAACCACAACAGGAAAACAAGAAAGAAGCAACCAAAACGCAAACAAGGCGCCTGTCCCGGAGGCTCTCTTGTTGGTTGTAGTTTATGTGGCTTCTGTTTGTATTTTCAGTGAATAAAAGAGAAGAAACCACAAATAAACCAACAATAAAACACAAAGGAAAGAATCACAAAACAAAAATGAAGCAGACACAAATAGACACACAAGTACAACCTCCTATGCCAAGCCGTTATTTGTCGTTTCTGTGTTTATGTTGTTTGTTTATTTATTTTTCTTTGACTTTCAGATGTCACAGTATTTCCATGTCTTAAACCTAGACGTGGTCGTTTTGCGCCCGACCCAACGCCCCCGAGCCTAGCTTTAGTGCCGATCTGCCCGGCCCAAAAGTCGCTTCGGAAGGAAACGGCGCGCTCGGACTGGTGATGGGCAACTGGCTGCTGGACAAGGCGCTTCCTTCTGTGCGCGCTAGAGCTGCTAGAGCCCTCCTCCACACTGCTGCTTGCACCAGCAGCCAGCGCTGTAAGGTAGCAGAGACATGATACACAACCGGCGGTACTTTTCCCAGAGCACCAGCAACAACGACAACCGCAACCATAACCGCAACCATGTTACGTGCGGCAGCAGTGAGCAGCAGTCGAAGTAGTCGCAGTCGTAGTCGGACTCGTACGTAATATACGCAGTGACAGTAGTTGTAGTAGTAGTCGTAGT